TCACACACAAGTCCCACAGCACCCCTAAAAGGATTTCAAGGCACCCAGAGACGCCACAGCACCCTGGTAGTAATCACTGCTTTAGTTCCTCCCCTGCCCCACTCCACATAGGAGGCACACAAACTTAGACAAGATTTATTTTCCCCCTAAAATGCCTCAAAATATTCAGTTTGATATACTTTTCAAACGTAATTTGGGGGACTGTGCACTTTTATAAAACTATAAACAACTGTGTGTCAATATGCTCACTAAACTCTAACAAAGTACCTGTCACCAGAGGATCATAAATTGGGGGTTGGACCAGATGATCCATGGGGGCCCTTCAAACCCTATCATCCACTCTACTCCTTATAAAGGAAGTGTCATGCAGCCGTCATAAAGGTAGGTATTTTTGGAGGCCTAAAGTGACAGACTATAGCCTTTTAAAAACAGATTTTTTGCAACACAGTGAAAAATTACCATTTTCTCATGTAAACAAACCAGAGAGTGAAGGTTCAATGTTCCAGTACTGTGCATGGGAGTGCATTAACCATATTTTAAAATAATGTCTGCAAGTAAACTCTTTCATGCAACATAACCTAATTTATACAACCTCTTCCAAAGCTATTGTCAGTCACCTACAGTTTAATAAGATTTAAAGACATTAACATGCTCAAATAAGTGATGAGCCTTCTTGAAAATCCTGTAACAGACACAAATGAAAGTTAAATTAATATAAATCATTCTGGAAACTGTATTTAAAAATATAAGCAATTTAAAATTTGGCCTATGTATGGAAACTTTTGGATAACTTCTCCTTAAAATCTATGTCTTTATAAAAAACAATTTAACATTTTTCTGCCTCAGAGAGGTAATAAAGGCCATTGATCAATTATTTTTCCCCCAAGACAGCAAAAAGTACAAGACCTTAGTAGTTAAAGATAATTCATGCAAGTTAGATCTTGATTAAGCTTGTGACAGAAAATACTTGCTCATGATGAAAGCTACTTCCTCTTTGAAGCATGTAGTGTTAAACAGTGAAACCTGAGCAATTTTAGTTTCAAGATATTAAGACATCAAGACTTAAGAAATCAATGCTAGTAGTCTAAAATTAAAAAAAACATAACATTATACAATGAAGGAAAAACAAAACTATTTCAAGGATTCTTTGTTTATAGTAATCTTAGAATTTAATTCTAACTGAAAGAGATCAGAGGAAATTATTATTCTGCCTAGTCAGTTTCTTTACTTTGCATTTGACAATACTTAAGAATAGTTCTATTTATATCTCATATTAGTTGTATGAAGAAACTGCAAACACTGCTCTGGAGGGAGCATATGTGCACTCTCCTCTGAAGTCCCTACTAGAGGATGTTCATGAGTACCAAAAGCCACAAGACTTTTATAAAAATGCAACAGCAAACAAGCATGTACCCTGAGGAGGAAGGGAAGAAACTGAGAGGGGGGTTTTTGCATTCTAGCTTTAAGGCATGTCAAAGAGATCCTTCCTCATGTCAGCATGGAAGCTGAAATCCCCTTTTAAAAATCTCTTAGAAATGTTTATGAAAATTCTAAAAGTGCTATTTAGAAAGTGATTTTCCACACATTCTATTTTTAATATTATTTTTACAGTAAATAATTGTTACAATTAGATTGCCTCCATATCACAATACTAGATAATTAAAAATGAAATAATTCTATATTTACAGACTGTGGGTCAAATCCTCATTTCTGAGGTTCTCATTAACTCACATATGTGCAATAGCAACCCATACAGAAGGGAGATGCCAATTCCCCAGGCTGAAGAACAGCTCTGCAGGATCAGGTGCTGAAGGATTCCTTTAGCTGTGGACAAAGCGGGCACATCCACAAATGATGTGGATGTTTGGTTCCCCATGGACAACAAGCAATGGCACACCTTTTGTCGCCACTACTTGTCCCCGGGGAATGCCTGGGCCGCACACTTTGGCACATAAGTTACTCCAGGGACAGTAGGGGAGGCTGGGGCCAGCAGCCTTGCCTGGGGGCCTCCCCGGGCTGCAGCAGTGGCAATTCTTCCACGCAGAGCCTGGCTGGCAGCTGCAGGAGTCAAAAGTCCCTCCATGAGGGTTTTCAGGAGTCAAAAAAACCCTCTGTGCTGCTCCACTGCAGACCAGAGAACATCTGAATGTGCAGTGCGTGGCACCACTGTACATGGCCACGCTCATCTGAACACGGCCAGTGGTTCTATACTAAAGATCATGAGATATGGCAGTATATAGCTCCATGACAAAGAGAATTAGATAACCATGATGCTAGAACCCAACCTGCGCAGGCCACCTAAGATAAATCATACTGGTTCTACTGAACATAATAGATTCTTCAGACACAAAGGAGGGCAGCACTTTTTCTCATCTGCCTGATGCATCCTTAGGATTCTTTTAAAGCATTTTTTCTGTTTTATAGAGATTAGCTATTTGTTTGCCAGATTTATGGAATTATATATAAAGGAACACTGACAGTTTCCCCAAGTATCTAAAACAGCTTTGGGAAATATCTTTATTTACAATAAAGTGGGCAGAGATGTACCACCAAAACACCTCAAATTATAAAACATATAATGTCTTATGATGACAGGGTGAGAGCCATGGGGCTCTTTAGCCTGGAAAAGCACAGGCTCAGGGTGATCTGATAGCCACCTATAAGTTTATCAGGGGTGACCATCAGTATCTGGGGGAACAGTTGTTCGCCAGAGCGCCCCAAGGGATAACGAGGTTGAACAGCCATAAACTACTACAAGATCGTTTCAGGCTGGACATAAGGAAGAATTTCTTTACTGTCCGGGCCCCCAAGGTCTGGAACAGCCTGCCATCAAAGGTGGTTCAAGCACCTACATTTACACCTTCAAGAGCAAATTACACCTTCAAGATCAAACTGGATGCTTATCTTGCTGAGATCCTATGACCCCAGCTGACTTCTTGCCCTTCGGGCGGGGGGCTGGACTCAATGATCTTCCGAGGTCCCTTCCAGCCCTAATGTCTATGAAATCTATGAAGTCTATGAGAATTCCAGGATCTTGGTCCCATCTATTCCCTTGCCCAGAGCTTAGTTACATTCTAATAAAATAAAAGCTTTAGTGCATCTGTCTGTTTGTAACACTTTATTCGCACTCTGACTGGTTGTCTTGGCAGCCAATCAGAGTGCTCTGCATAGACAGACACGTGGCAGAGCGCCACCATGATGGCAGGGACTGAGGAGTGGAGCAGGAGGACAAGGCCAGCCGTGCTTACCTAGCCCCTCCCTGCCCCCAGCCCTGCTCCTTGGATGCAGCAGTGGCGCGGGGTGCTGGCAGTGCAGCACTGGCCTCACCCCCCAACTCTGGCATCACCACTGTATCCAAGGGGTGGCCACACACCCCCAGTGAACAGACAGGAGTGGGGGATGGGGGGGATGCAGGGGAGCCACATGGCTGGAGGTGGAGCTGCGGCACTGCAGGGCGCTGGGTGGCGGCACTTTGTCCTTGCCCCCTCCCCCAAACTTCATGACAGGCAATTTGCTAGTGTTGGTTATATGAAGGAAAGTCCCATTCAACATTACACATATTGTACACCTTCGTATACTGTTGCACATTTGCTATCCGTACTATACAGAAACGGCACAGGACAGTGGCTCTTCAACACTTAAAAGTGTGAGAGTTTTTTAAAATATTGTATACTTTGGCTTTAATACTTACAGAAAAGATAACCAAGAGTTATAGTATATGTATCCACACACAGGTAACAGTCATTGAGGATATAATTAGACTAAAATTAAGAGAAAAAAGTAGACCAATAGGCAGATGTATTTTATCTAAAACTATCAACCAATCAGGCTACAGAATTATGTGCATCTTACATAGAATGTAGTAGGCTTACTACTTTCTACAAAAGTAAAGTATGAAAAAGCAAGATTTATCAAATAAGAACTTTAAAGTCCCAAACCTGCAGGGCTCTGGAACTACCTGTGTGCACAAAGTTAAATAAATAGAAAGATTTGCTGAGCCCAAGTAGGATAACTAAAATTAAACACCACCTTCCCCCCACCCCACACACACTTTCTTTTTCCCTCTCTGCCCCACCCCCATCATAATCTTTAACTTACCTGGTCTCTTTCTGGCCTTTTCATGTCCTAGTTGTCCTAGATCATTACAACCACATGTATAAACAGTCCCATCGTCCAGGACAAAAACAGTATGCCTGAGTCCACATCCTACATCTCTCACTTTTTTATTTAGGAAAAAGTCACTTTTTCTGGGTTCTAAAACAATCTCTTCATCAATTCCACCCAATCCAAGTTGTCCAAAGGATGCATTTCCCCAACACAACATGCTGACAGGTCTTTTGATGAAAACGATCTTCCAGCTTCACGTCAAAAATATCCCTTCTGTATCACTGTTCAGGGAGAAGTCATAAGTTCAGTACTATTCTAAAGAAAATATTTTTTAAAATGCTATAAATTTTAAAAGCATGTTATAAAGCGCATCCTTCAAAAACCAACTGTATAAAATAAAACCATAATGAACATACTAGTTTGTAAACAAGTTTCACTCCTTTGATTTTTTTGTAATTAACACTGAACTACAGCACTGATCTTGCACTGTGATTCACCCAGGTAGGGACCTCCTTAGATTTCACTGGCCTGAAAGGCAAGGAGCTCTCTAACAGAAGTTACACAATTTAAATCTAATCTGATGAATAATTCCACATATTTCATTCCCTCCTGTCATGTTCATCTATGCTTCTTGCTTTCTACTAACTGGACCTCACCTTCCTATTAACTGGGCTTAATCTACAAATGTTTACAAGACAAAGCTACATTTCTCTCCTTTTTGGTTTTCAATGTGGCACAAAGCATTTGTGATATTTTTAGAATGCCAGTTCACATAAAGTGGAGCCTCTCCTTATTTCAAAATATTCTCAATTTAAGAGCACCGAAACTTTCATCCAAGATCACTGTGATCAAACTAGCATGACTAAACAATGGGAACTGGATATAAACACATTATAGAATCATAGAAAATTAGAGTTGGAAGGGACCTCAGGATGTCATCTGGTCCAGTGGTTCTCAACCTTTTTTGTACCAGGGCTCATTTGTAAATATCGATGGCCACTCCTGACCCAGTGCCCCTCACTCCCAAACTGCTGCCCCCGGCCCCAGTCCCCCAATGTGTGGGGCACAGGGGGGACACCCAAGCAGTCCCTCACAGGCTGGAGCTCTACCAGCCTGCAAGGGAAAAGCCACAGTGTGTTCTTCCAACCCACTTTTGGGTTGTGACCCACAGGTTGAGAAACTATTTAAGCCAACCCCCTGCTCAAAACAGGACCATCCTCTGCCAGATCAGCCCAGTCAAGGCTTTGTCTACCCAGGTCTTAAAAACCTCTGGGGATGAAGCTTCAATTCACATACAGTTCACATGTGTACAAATTTCCATTCTGAAAGATCATAACATGCTTTATAATCTACATAAAAGCATGCATCTAGCATAAAAGCTGCTTGACATGCAGCCAGCGACTAGCACGTGGAAACAAGGAGGGTGAAACGGCAGACGAAAACAACGGAACATGGTTTTAAGTCCCAAGTCCTGAGGAGGCAGTTTCAAGTTCTCCCCATAAACAGGCCCGTGCAGGGAGGCTTTCGGGACTGTGTCTACCTCGAAGAGAAACCCGGGTCGTTATCTCCTACCAGGCTCGAGGACGTACCAGACGAAGCAGCCTTGAGTTAAGACATAGTGGCACAAACGCAACCTTCACTCATCCGTGCAGCAGGGTCCGCCCTGCAAGAGGGGAAAGCATCAGAGGTGAGGCCGCCGGGGCCGCGTCCCCCAGTCCAGGCTCCTCGCGAGCAGCGGGAGGAGGCGGACGTACCGCCGCGACTAAGTCTGCCCCTTGGCTGGAAACGAAGCCCCCAGAGGACCGACTGCAAAGGCAGCGCCCTGCGGCCCCAGCTCGGGGCGGGTAGCAGGCCCGGGCGAGGCCCGCGAGGGCAAAGCGGGACCGGGCGTTTCCCGGGCGCTACAGCCCCGCGGGCAGGCCACGCGCGAGGGGGGCGGGCCCGGGCACTAGTCGCGGCCCCTCCCGG